AAGCTTGGTCTCCACACAATAAAAGATTTCTCTAGGTCGGGCGTGCCACCTATTTGGGCACATAATGGGCCCTACCCAATATGCAATGGTGGGCTCAAAAGATCTATTAGGCCTCTCATGTAATTATATTATTTTTATAATTTTATAAAAACACAAAATCATTATTTGAATATTTAAATCATTATAAAATCAATATCTTTATTTTTATAAATCCAATTTTGATAAATAAAATATTCAGAGATTCAGAAAAATTCAAATAACAATTCTCAAAATAATATATTATTAAGATAAACAAAATTAAAAAGTTTTTATGGGAAAATGATCTATATGATCTAAGAATAAATATCCATTGGGGCACTCGATGTCTAATTGCGAACTACGAACCACACATGCTTTTTCAAACCAACCTAGCGTTGCCCATGACCCACTGTCCATGTAGGGGATAATTAATAGGTCACCAAAGTCTAGCCAATGGGCAAGGGGTCGTAGTCCCAGTATATGGATTTCAGGTCCCCCTCAGAGATGAAACACATGGTCATCCTGACCTGATGCAATCCATAGCTCATTGGTGCACATGAGGTATCTCTCACACATGCACACGCTTTACCTTGAAAGGTGGTATGCTTTTTTGAAAACGGCTATGGATGTGCATCCCATGTGATGGTACAAATGATGAGGCTTTGGCCTTGTCTCTACAGCCTTCCATTACACACAAGGGTCACACAATTCTTCGACTCACTCATCCGGGCATACTCCGACCTCATCAAGGGTAACGCATATAACTCTCATCGGTACGATTCTCTGAGTTCAAGTAACATGGATTTTCCCCAACCAAACGGACCTAGCACGTTAACCACAGTTTGGTATCAGCAAACATCGTTTACTTAATATGGTCTACAAGGGACCACACTCCCATTGTATTCATGTTCCACTACATAATTTAATTTTACAAGCACTCATAAGGCTTTTAATGGCCACACTCACCCAATAGAGGATGGTACTCAAATTTCTTTCTAGCACCATAAGTGGATTGGTTAATGCCCACTTAAAATAACTTTACCAGATTTATTTGACAAGGTGATCTTATGGCTCTCGTTTATGATGTTTATGATGGAGAGAAGGTTGTTTGAAATGTGCAGTTTCCATACAATAGAATTCTAGAGGAGTTGTTGTCACAATTGACTCTGTTGATGGTTACAATAGAATTCAAGAGGAGTTGTTGTCACAATTGACTCTGTTGATGGTTACTATGGAAGAGATTTTTATTGCACGAGGAATGGAAGATGAGCGGGTGTGGGATATTGAACATGATGATTTAGTAAAATCTATGTACACCATGTTGGTTCATTATCGATGGCAATGATCTCTACCTCAGATTGCTCAAGTTTGGAAATGACTAGTATCGCATAAGGTTCAATGCTCCTTATAGTTGGAGGGAAAAATACAATTTTGACCATTGATAATCTTGCCAAAAGAGGTAAGGTTCTCCCAAATATTTGCTTGATCTGTAAAAGTGATGGTGAATATGTTTCACATCTTTTTGTACATTGTTGTTTTGTTTACAATGTTTGGAAGCTTTTCTTAAATATCTTTGGAATCCGGGTGGCTTTACCTCAAGACCTATTGGGTATTATTGCCGACCTGGCCTTCCCAATCGTTCCTAAATTGGGGTGTGTTATTTGGCAAATTTTTAGAGGAACAGTCAGTTGGGAGATTTGGAACGAGCGCAATCGTAGAAATTTTGAAGGGGTTTCTCTTCCTTAAGATAGGGTATTCATTTGTATCTTACATATAATGTGGATAGCTTTCGGTTACAAAGGAAGGTACTGGAATCTCTGAGGTGAATGTGTGGTTGTATCTAAATAACTTAGCATTCTCTCGAGTTGTTAGGTGCAGACCTATTGGCCGTTGGTTACCTCCTTTGCATGGAAGCTACAAATTAAATTTTGATGGGAGTTCTCTGGGAAATCCAGGTGTAGCAGGCATTGATGGGGTGGTGCGAGATTGGAATGGATTTGTTACCAATGTATTTTATTCTTTAGATCACATAATTTAGGGCCTATCTATGAGGTGGAAGGAGGCTTGCTGGATTTTATCAAATGGTGTAAAAAGGAGCACCAAGTGCTTTGGTCACTATGATCTATTTGGTGTAAGATGCTGGATTTGCTTGAAGTGATATCTGCGTCTTTCTATCATGTTTATAGGGAAGCAAATAGTGTTGCAGATGCTCTAGCCAAGAGAGGGGTTTCTTGTGCTTTGATTTCCATTTTGAATGATGTAGATTTTCTTTGATGTTTCAACAATAAATTTGATAATTTCTGTCAAGAAAAGAAAATCCAAGTCCAGAGTGGTTAAGGTGGTCAAATTAGAGGAGTCATGTGATGACTCAAGTGTGGTCGTCATGATTCGGCCATTGGTGGTGAGGGTGGACCTGTGGCTGAAGTTAAACTGGATGAGACTTCCTCGATGAGTGGAGTGTGACATGAAAGGACATTCACCTAGCACAAGTGGAACAAAGGAGAGGAGATTCAACAACCAACATGAGGAATGTCGGTATCACTCATGCTATGGTAAGGTATTTTGAGGCCTTCCTGTTCAGGGTCACATAAGGTGGACTGGATTGTCCTAACCATGTACCTAGGTCCTTGTGGATAGTCATGTGGGTATGTTTGGATGTAGTCGTTATAATTGACAATTCACTATTTAATAAAGTTGATCCTGATAAATGAATTATCTTTTGTTTGATAGTGTCCAACATAAAATTATCCAAGATAAACTCATAGATAGTTTCACATACAAGTTCATCTTTTTAAAAAGCTATTTTAATTACTCAGTGTAACTTTCTCCTGTCTCGTTTTATTTGTATAGGGCAGAAAACAAAAGAAAAGAACTCTCTCTATCTATCAAATAACTAAATTATATTTTATATAATACGCGGTACATTTCAAAAAGCTCTCATAATAATCTTGTGCAGAATCTATAGAAGATAGTTTTACTTCATATGAAATTAAATGTAAACCAAACATGCTCAAAACTTGTGAAATGGACTAGTGTAACTGCCAACACCATACCAAGTGGCGGTTAGTAACTATGTGCATGCTTTAACAACCAAGTAATGAGGTTGAGTTGGGAAAGGGGCTGGGGTCGTGATGGTAGTACCCCACACCTCAGTCGCCATGTTGTGGTTTTCATTCTCGCCACTAACACCATCCCATTAATATCTTAATAAAAATAAATAAAAATGATAATGAGGTTCACTGCACGGGGGCTTTAAAAACCATGCCCTCACTTTATGCGGTATACGTATTTGTATGCAAGCAAGTGCATAGAGAAATAAGAGTGAAGTTATGGGCCTTTCTCTATAATTTGTACATGCCAAGTGTGTCTCATTAGTCATTACTACTTTCCTCTCGTATGGGTTTGTGCAAGGATAGCCTTCTTAGGCTTGGCACCGCGCAATTTGGCCAAGTGAAAAGTTCGCCTCGCAACACTGAGTCGTACAAAATCCGGTAGCGAGGCAAAGGAAACCAAACGGTGGCATTTGTGTATACATAGCCTTGTACATACAAAACCTGCTCTTGACTCTAAGAACGGAATGCTCAGGTCATACAAAATGAAGTGAGGCACATGTGGACATTATAAAGGTGGCAATGGACATAGACCCGACCCATGACCCTACAGGTAGACTCGACCAGGCTCCGGGTATAAGCCCAAAAATTGGACTTGACAGGTCGGGTATTGGTATAAGTTTTGGACCCAAACACTATTCGGGTACATGTTTGGGTCCATATAGACCCCACCCGGACCTGACCCGAATAGTGTTGATATTTAAATGATAGTTAATATATTGTATTTAAAAAAATATTATAGTATATTTTAGTTGAAATATTTATATAATGCACACATATATTTAACAAATGGGTGTGGTTTTAGACAATCAAAGTAAGGCGCACCTTCAAATGGTATGGAAAAATGTTGTTCCAGTACTAGAATTTTTTGTTATGGCTTGAAAATTTATTTTTATCTCTAATTATAAAATTTAAAGCTTAAAAAAAAAGATCGAGCAGATCTATGAACACTTTAAAATCTTGAAAATTGACGGTTCAAAAAAAAGATTAAGATATGCACTATTTCCAAGATGTGAATTCCATTTTTCTCATATCAATATATATTGAAGTTGAGATGATGGATTTGAGGATTTTTGGACATCAAAAGAACCTCTTGTAGTGAATTTTTGAGGTGTGCCTTAATTTGATTGTTTAGAGTCTCACCCTTATATGAAACTTTTTTTTAACAAATTTATGAAATATCATCATCATCATTTTAATGTAATATATTTGAATACATGGATATTTTGAATTTTTAGGTTTCGATTTAAATATATGAATTTTTTCTTTAACAAATTTATGAAATATCATCATCATCATTTTAGTGTAATATATTTGAATATATGGATATTTTGATTTTTTAGGTTTTGATTTAAATATATGAATTTTTTCTTTAACAAATTTGTGAAATATCATCATCATCATTTTAGTTTAATATATTTAAATATATGGATACTTTGATTTTTAGGTTGGGTCCAATGGATTTGGTAAGGTTCGAGGTCCCACAGAGTATTTTGGGGGGAAGAGGAGTAAGTGCTTACAGGCAAGAGTAGGGGTGGTGGTTAAAGTGAGAGGCGAGAATGGCGTGGAAGCAACAAAAGCGAACTGTTCCCACATTTAACCTATCATCCCCCCACTCTCGTCTCTCTCTCTCTCTCTTCCTCTCTCGAGTGGTTTGCCATCGTTCTCTCTAATTTTAATTATTAGTGGGGAGAGACAAGGATGGTTTGGTTTCGGGCAATTTGTGTGTTGTGGTCAAGATCTCCAATAGACTCTCTAACCATAAAAAAGACTTTACTTTTTCTGGATTTGTGGCTACGCCTCTCTCACCATGTCCCTTGGAATCAGCAAAACTGTCCTCAAAACCTTATTATAAAAATCAACACCCCTTCACATTTGGCCCTCTCCTCCCTTCCCTTCCCTTCATGGGGCTTGCTTTCCCTTTCATTCAACCAAAACAGCAGAATTACTGTCTACCCAATTAGCTTACCAGTCTCTTTTAACACACACAGACAAGACAGTTAAATTCACCTCTCTCTCCCTCCTCTCTCTAGACCTCTCTCTCTCCAGACCTCTCTCTCTCTCTTCCCGTGTTGGTTGATTAGGTAGAGTCACGTAAAGGAAGTGGGGCAAGTTGGTTATGCACTATTTGTAACTAGAACAAATGTGTTTTATGTAGTTTTCTTTAGTATTCTCACTTTTTGCATGAGCCTCCTTGTAAATTGTTATTCTTTAGTGTCTTTATCAAATATATCATCTTCAATAATGTTGAAATTTGATCTTGAGTTGGCTTGGGCTTTTTGTTTCTTGGCTAAAATTTGAAGGTGGACGGTGCATTTGCAGGTGTCACATAGTCCTTGCAAAGTGCAGGCAACAAAGAAAAGGAAAATATGGGGCGTTTCACTCTCTTTAACTTCTTCCTTCTCTCCCTCCTCTGCACTTCGGGTCTTGCAGAAAACCCCTATAGATACTTCACATGGAAGGTCACATACGGCACCGTTTCGCCCCTTGGAGTTCCACAGGAGGTCACCCCTCTTCGCTTTGCTGATAATCTCTCTCTCTCTCTCTCTCTTTCTGTTTCTATTTTAAATCTTGATTCTATCTCTCTGTTTCTTTTTGAATCTTGATTTTCTCTTTCGCTATGTTTCTTTTTTGAATCTTGAATCTTGATTCTCTCTCTCTCTCTCTCTCTCTCTCTCTCTTTGTGTTTCTTTTTTGAATCTTGACTCTCTCTCTTCTTTTTTGAATCTTGATTGTGTGTGTGTGGTTTATTTACAAATAGGCGGTTTTGTTTGTGAACAGGTAATTATGATAAATGATCAATTCCCAGGCCCCAACATAAACTCCACCACCAATGACAACATCGTTGTCAACGTCTTCAACCAACTCGACGAGCCCTTCCTTATTTCATGGTAAAATAATAAAATCCCTTCTCTTGAATAATGTGTTTTCTGTGTAAGAAGAATGACAATGATATGGTCTTGCACCAGTCATGATCAAATTCTCTCTATCACTCTCTCATGATTTACATTCTTCCCTCTCTATTGTGCTTAGCTCTTCTTTGAGCACTCTCTCTTGATTCTTCCCATGATTTAGTCCCTGCTCTCTTTACTGCCATGCCCAAACTCAACTTTTTCGATCTCGATTCTTCTCTTCGTTTGAGTCCGAACTCTGTATTACCATGTCAAAATAATCTCCCTCTTTCTCCATGTCCGACTGTATCAGGAACGGGGTGCAACAGCGAAAGAACTCATGGCAGGACGGGATGCCGGGGACAAATTGCCCGATCCCTCCAGGGGGGAATTACACATATCAGTTTCAGGTTAAGGATCAGATTGGGACATACTTTTACTTCCTCTCTACGTCCTTCCACAAGGCCGCTGGTGGGTTCGGAGGCCTGAGGGTCAACAGCCGTATGTACATTCCCGTTCCGTTCGACCCGCCGGCCGAAGACTACACTCTCCTCATTGGCGACTGGTACACCAAATCTCACAAGGTACTTCAACTCATCATCCTCACGCACTCACCCATTCTTAACTCATTTGTCACCTCCTAATTTTCGTCTTATTTGTTCCTTTATGTTTTTTTTTTTTTCCTTTTTTCTTCTTTATTTGAGAAGTTATTTTACATTTCAAATAAGCAGACTAGATAAATTACATAGTGCCTAGGCTCTAAACAATCAAATTAGACCCTACCTCAAAACTTTGATGTTGTTTTGATGCTTAAATATTATATCAAATTGATCATCTCGACATCAAGGTACATGGACATGAGAAGAAAATGGATTTCAAGTTTAAGAAATAATGTATCTTGTTAGGCATTTTTGGACTGTCAATTTTCAAGATTTCATCGATCTCCTCGATCTACACTATTTTTGAAGCTTTAAATTTTGTAACTAAAGATGACAATATAATTTAAGCTATCACAAACATTCCAAAAACCATATTTCTTGACACTATTTGAAGGTAGGCTCTTATTTGATTGTTTAGAGCCTCAGCTATACAAACTGCACCCAATACAAAATATTCCACTTATAGGCGAAATTAACAAAGAAGGTCGGTGAACCCGCCTTTTTAATTTTTTAAAAAATTACCTCTTGATCAACCTGAATTTTGATTTTTTCTTTAGTAGGGCAGTGCTCCAAGCTTTAAGGCACTATCCTATTAATGAATTTTTTTTAAAAAAAAAAAAATCAAAATTTGGGTTGACCGAAATGATTTTGAAAAAAAACAACAAAAAAAAAGGCAACTTGACCGACTTCTTTGTAATTTCCACATATAAGTGGAGTATTTCATATTTTACCTAAAATTTTAGGATCCATGCGTAAATCACTCTAAATTTAAAAAACTATAACGATGTGTAAATTGAAGGGATGTTTGAAATTTGATCAAACGATATAGGCTTGGGTATGATTTGTTAAACTTCCTTCTTTTAGTTATGCCATGAAACACCCCCAACCAGCTTTCCATCGACCAGAAAAGAGGTTTCTTGACCTTGGTTCTTTTGCAAACCACAGTTATTTATAAACTACTTTTAGAGTTGGGTAACCCATCCAAAATAGAAATATTTCTCGTTTGATGGTCTATTAGGGAAAGCTGCAAGCACCTTAGTCAAATTAATATTCATGGATTCCCACTATAGAATGGTTTTAATCAACATGATAAACTACAATATGTTCATGAATTCCTACTATAGTAATTTTAATGATGAAACATTACAATAATTTTACGAATGAAAACAATGTTTTGATGTTCTTCTCCTCATTTTACATGAATAGACTTGGAAGGCCCCACTTTGAAGTTGCAGTGGCTTGAAGCTGTTGAGCATGGTTATTTTCTCTGAGTGATTTATGTACGGACTTTAAATTTTTTTAAAAAGTACGAAATGATCCATTTATGGGTAAAAATTATAAAGAATGTCAATCAACCCACATATTTTTTATTTTTTTTCAAAATTTGCTCTCGGTCTGACTTTTAATTTTTTTTTTAGTTTTTTTGTTAGTAGGGCACTGCCCTAAATCTTGAGGCACTACCTTACTAATGAAGAAACTTAACAAAACAAATTTAAAATTCAAACAGAGGATTTCATCTTCAGATCGAGAGACCTTCTTTATAATTTGTGCCTATAAAAAAAAGTATTTCGTATTTTAGAAAAAAATTTAGGGTCCTTATGTAAATCACTCTTTCATCATACCACCGTCAACCTTGCATCAAAAGATCGATCAACACACTTTATGAATGTCACTCACGCTTTTCTTCCTCGCTTCTCTCCTTCTATCTCTCATGCTCACTTCTCTCTTTCTCATGGCTGAGTGAAGGAACTGAGGAAGAGGCTCGATGACAGTAAAAGCCTTGGCAAGCCCTGTGGTGTCCTCATAAATGGCCGAACAGGCAAGAACGCCGAAACATTGACAGTCGAGCCCGGCAAGACCTACCGTATCCGCATCTCTAATGTGGGGATCAAGACCTCCCTCAACTTCCGGATTGAGGGCCATGCCCTATTGCTTGTCGAGATCGAGGGTTCTCACACTGTGCAAAATGTCTACGAATCACTCGATGTCCATGTCGGCCAGTCGTACTCAGTCCTCGTTACCGCAAACCAGGCCGTCAAAGACTACCAGATCGTCGCCTCCACACGTTTCACAAAGTACATCCTCACAGGGACTGCAGTTCTCCATTACTCTGGAGCTACCGAGGGTGTGTCGGATGCTGCACTTTCAGGACCGACTGGCGTAGCCTTCTCTTTGAACCAATTTCGGTCGTTTCGCTGGAATCTAACTGCTAGTGCTGCTAGGCCAAACCCGCAGGGGTCCTACCATTACGGCAGTATACCGATCGTGAGGACGATTAAGCTCGCAAGCAGCATTGGAAAGATCGAAGGGAAGCTCAGGTATGCGATAAACGGGGTGTCCTACAAGCAGGCCAGCACCCCATTGAAGCTGGCTGATTATTATGAGATGGGGAAGGAGGTATGGTGCGACAAGTGCATGCCGGACTCGCCACCAGAGGAGGAGATGAAGGAGGAGACTAACGTGGTCGATGGGGTGCACAGGGACTTCATTGAGATTGTGTTTGAGAACCGGGAGAAGACTGTGCAGACTTGGCACTTGAATGGTTACTCCTTCTTTGCAGTCGGGTAAGCTTCCTCTCCACCATTACGTTTGATCAAAATACAAAATGCTCCATTTATAAGTGAAAATTATAAAATAAGTGTCGGCTAACCCACTTTTATTTTTATTTTTTTTTTCAAAATTACCCTCATTCCAGAATTTCCTAAAACCAGTATTTTTTTTTTCAGTCTTTTCTTTAATAGGGCACTGCCCTACAAATCAAAAAACTAAAAAAAGAAAAAAAAATCGGATTGAGGATTCCATCCTCTGACCAAAGGGCAATTTTGAAAAAATAAAAGTGGGCTATCTACATTCTTTGTAATTTATGCCTATAAATGAAGCATTTTGTATTTTAGAAAAAAAATTTAGGGTCCGTACGTATGTTTTTAGAAAAAAGAGCCCTCTGGTGTTTTTCATTTTTTTTGTTATTTTTTTTTGGACGATAAAAATTGGGATGTTTTCATGATTCGTGCATGATGATCGCACTAATCTTCTCTCTATCGTTCCAAATTTATCGTATGTCACCGAAGAGACGAAGACGAGGCTTCTAATTCAGGTAGCTACAGTATAGTGCAATTGTTTGGGTGGTTGTACTCATGTATTTGCTGCTGCATGTAGGATGTCGCGTGGGACATGGACGCCTGAGAGTCGCAATGTCTACAACCTGTTTGATGCAATCAGCCGCTCCAACATCCAGGTATATGTCCTCCATCAACCTTGTGCCTCGTCAATATTGTTATTACATATGAAATTTATCAAATTATCCATAAGAGATGAACAATTTAAAACTTGGTTCATAACTTTTTTTAATTTTAGTTCAAATACTCATAAAAAACATATGTTCTTAAAATGCAATAGTAACGAGATGGCAAAAACTTTAATACCTTGTCTCTTGTGGGTATTTTGATAAATTTCTTTAATTACGATTAATTAACCCTTTCTAATAAGGTTTACTTGCTCCATGTAACTGGTATGTTAGAGAGTAGCTTATTTTATTCGTCCAATACTCCCTTTGCTCTTTCGAAGTATCTCCCATGACAATTGTGTAGGGAGATATCAAAAGGATTATCAACAAAGAGACATTGAATGTCAAATTGGATGGCTTAGAGTGAGTCATAAAATTCAAAAATTTATTTATTTTAACTTTGAGTCTATTCAATGACACTTCTGCAATCACCTAATTTGAAATCTGACACTCCTACACCCACCCAATTTGAAATATAAGGGATTAGTGATTGTCATCTCTGTATACAAAAAGTAAATGGTTTCTTTGTATTCTTTTCTGAATCAAAATTCTTTCCATTTGATTTCATCGTTAGGAGGTTGTGACCCTCTAAGCTAAAATGCTTTCTTCACCTACTAGAGTAACACATGCTTGGGTTAGTTACGCTATTCACAAGCATTTATTTTATGGAAAAGTGTTATATGGGTCGGGAGGCGCATAACTACATTCACGGCCCTTGCGGCATAACACATCCATCTTTAAGATGGATTTGGCTTTGCAATCCCTCCAAAGAAAACTCTAATAATCGACCGTCTAAATTTCTGTCTCGCTTTGCAATCCCTCATCATCTTCAGGATTTAAATATTGACTTTTTACATATAAATGATCTCCCATATTGGAGATTCTATATACCTAAAAAAAATTAAGTCCAAATTCTATATAAAAAATAGACCATGAAGTTGGGCCGCATATCTACATATGAGTCCTAGGACTTACAAAAGTTGTTTCCTTATTTTATTGGGGATGTGCAAATGCATATGTAGATAGTTAGTAGTGAATGAGAATGGGGTTGTAGTCATGGTGGTAGCACCATTTGTACCCCAGCTAAGGTCTAGACTTTCATTCTCACCTAATGCATTAAAAACCCACTTACAATTTCAAAAAACGGATAGGGGCTCGTCATCGCCATTGAATTACCCAAAAAAAGGGAAAAAAAAGGAAAGAAAGATAGTAATGAATGAATGGAGTAACATAAAAAAATTTGAAAATGTGCAGGTATACCCAAAATCCTGGTCTGCCATTCTACTTACCACAGACAATGCGGGAATGTGGAGCTTGAGGTCAGAGATATGGGAACGCCAATACCTAGGGCAGCAGTTGTATCTTCGCATTCCATCGCCAGTCCATTCCCTAAGAGATGAATATGACATCCCACTTAATACCCCTCATTGTGGCTTGGTCGCCAACAAGGGGGAACCCACCAAGGCTGATTAGACACCATTGCATTGCATGGTGCTCCATTTATTTTTTGCCCTTCCTCTCTCTCTCTCTCTCTCTCCCAGTTAGAATAAGGCTTGCAGCACAAATTACGTTTGTTTTCCAAGTGTGTTAAGAGTACATTTAACTTGGAAGGTCACCCTATTCGATCTTCATTCCATTAACCACACAAGTGGTTTTCTTACATTCATATTGACATTATTTTTTTCACAGCTACATATGTGAAATTTCTTTCTCTCTCTTTCCTCTCTCTCTTTCTCTGGTGTGTGTTGGTGGTGGTGATGGTGTATCGAGCACTTGAGGAACAAATGATTATCGTATTTTCAGGCACGAATTAGCTTTAGCAAGACTATACTTTATTGCTACTGATAGACATCAGTGTGCATACAGGTAACTATCCAAATTTGTAGACGTCAGTGTGCATACAGGTAACTATCCAAATTTGTCTTCAAGACATAAGGAAAGATAATATCAAACATTTATCTTGTTACATTTGAAAAATCAAATATTTATCTTGTCTATTCAAATGCAAAATAGTTGCATGTTCTAAGAGCTCTAGAGCTGCTTTCCTTAAGAGAAAGACAGCGTGCATAAGAGAAATGATAACAATGTGTGGAAGATAGACTCGACTAAATAGACACGGAAAAAGCACTTTCAGCTTCTTGAAATATGACTGTTCAAACGAACTGATAGTTGAAATTGTCCTCAACTATTAATAATTATAAAATGGCTCAGTTATAAATTTTCAATACCGTTGCAAGCGTGTGAACTGAAACATACATCTCAAATGATCTTACGCTTCACATTATCCTACAAGTTTTCTTTCCCATTTGCTCCATGAACATAAAGGAAGAGGGTAAACCTCTATGTAAACTTGACTCTCTCTTCTCATTCACCATTGTGAGACAAATTTAGCTCTCCAAAAGATTAAGTTATCAAAATATGTTATTTTGAAATAATACATAGTAGTTCTCTTTTATAACAATACTAGTAACTATCTAAACTTATTTCAAAATAATAAGAAAACATAGGAACCATACATTATTTGCATTCTATGAATGTATCTTTTGCTTTGAATATTGGAAAAATTACAAAAAAACCCTACGACTACACTTTCTATGCACCTTACCCCCAATCTATCTTTTTACAAAAAAAACCTTAAGACTACACTTTCTATGCACCTTACCCCCAATCTATCTTTTTCTCTCACTTTTTTCCCCAAAACAAACTTTATATGTGAATACCCCCCAAGGGAAAAATTCATTTTTTTAGACGGAAATGCCTTTCTCGTACACAAAAATCAATTTTGCCAGATTTGACGTTGACTTTCGGACCCTAGTAGCACGTTGCCGGAGCGCACCATCTCATTACTAAACCGAAACTGCGTACTGCCGGACCGCCCTTTGCAATTGCCGAAGTCCAGTGAGTCAGAAGTTCTATTGCCGGACCGCCCTGTGCAACTGCTAGAGCACTGTCACTTTAGAACATATACTACAGGACCGCCCTATCACATTGCCTGAGCCCCCAAGTGCCGGACCGCCCTAACACAATTACCGGACCGATATTGAGTACTGTTGGACCACCCTTTGCATAGTGCCAGAGCCCTGAAATCTAGTAACATCTATTGCCAGAGCGCCCTTTACAACTGTCAGACAGCCCTTTTGCATCCGCCGGACCGCACTTTACAAAGTGCTAGAGCCCTATTGTCGGAGAACATTTTACACAGTGCCGGAGCCCTACTGCCGGATTGCACTTTACACAATGCTGGAGCCCTACTGCCGGACCGCATATACGCTGGAGCCCCTCTTTTGGAGGGAGAGAGGAGAGAGAGGCGTGAGTAAGGTAAAAGTAAGGGAGGGTAGTTTAAGCAATTTTTTTTATTTTTTTGTTGGTTGGGGGTATTTGCATAGAAAATGTATTTTAGAAAAAAAGTGAGAAAAAAAGTTAGGTCGGGGGTAAGTTGCATAGAAAATGTAATTTTGGGGTTTTTTTTTTTTGCTTGTAATTTTCCCTTGAATATTCACTTGATTTATACATTACAAAGCCCATGAACCTTTGCACCAACAATCATCCAAGGGACCATTAATATAAACAAAATAAAATATATCTTTGGTGCCTTTTACTAACAGCATGTTAGCCTTGAGCATATATCTTGGTATCACATGAACTACTATCGTTTCCACACTTATCTTGGTATCATATGAACTAGTATTATTTATATGACTCTATTGTTCCTCTATGTATAAAACACCCTTATTGATCCTAATTATGGAAATCAATAAGAGCATTGGTCAACCTCCTTTGATACAAGTCATTACTAGACTTATCCAAGTATGGATTTCTATAAAATGATACTTATAATATTGTTATCATGTCTAGAGACCAACTAACCACAAACATAACATGTTCCAATGTTTAGTGGCCAACTGTTCACATTCATCCATTTAGTTCCCAAACTTAGTCATCAGACGCTGAAGTGTTTGCACATTGTCGTACTAGACTTATGGCCTTGACTCCGTACTTCAATGATAGTTCTTGGTCATAGTGGGGTGAATCGGAATATTGGAGTTACCGGTTTCTTTACGAATTGCCATCCAAAAAGTCTAAAACCCAGAGTCATGAGGCTTGAGTGGAGTGCCTTAACGAAAATCGAAAAGTTTGAGAGTCTCCTCTTCTCAGGGTCAGTGGAGAACACCTCACTACTGTATGAGCTAGGGCATAAGAGATAATGTATGAGAATTGTTGTCTTAGAGAAACTTCTAAGAATAAGCTCTATGTGAAAGACTAGGCTTAGAGAGGACATTAGCCTAAATCCCTGATCTCAAGCCTTTTTCATTGTGGCAAGTTTCATCCTCTTGATCTGAGTTATGCGCATGTGTTAGGAGAGGATCCTTGCATCAACAAGAATGCATATTCTTGAGGTACACTTGTAATCTACTGACACTAAGGATATGTACTATTGTAATTTTAGAACTGGGCCACCTATTGGATCAGCTTGATAAATCAAGAATGTGTTGCTGCTGGAGATTGTGGGACATAGGTTTGTTAGGCTTATTTGAGAAAATAGCTTAAAGTTCCAAAGTTGGCCTAGTGGATTACCATATTGCTTAATTTAACCTAATTTGCTATTTCATATCTTTTTGGATGACAAATGTACTTAATTTTATGGAAAATTATTGAGAGTGATTTGTGGATATTTTTTAAAATTTTTTCAAATTTTTATTTCAAGTAAAATTGTTTTTCTAGAATTGTTAAGCTCTAATTTCAGTTAGGACTGTTAGGCTCTAATTTCAGTTAGGACAGCCCACGGATGTTGCACATATATGGTTAATGTGTACGAAGTGGAGCTCACATGGATGCATGCGGAGATGACATGGCAGCCTCATTGGGACGTGGAGCCCTTGTTTTAATGGTTCATATATCTTAGTTACGTGTAATGCGCCCTATGAAACTTTTACATGTGTGACTGTGTATACACGTATGCAAAATGATTTTCTAATTTTTTTTTTTAATTTTGGAAATTCTAACCAACTGGATTTAAAGAGAAAGTGATTTACTAGTGTGTTAATATACCATTGGCTAGGTGTAAGGTTTATGACATCACATGTGTGATTATGCTATGATAAGACCACATGTGTGAAGTGTTCCTTCAAATGATACTTTTATTTTAAGAAAAAGTTTATATAGAGCCGAGGTTCTAAATAATCAAATTAGAGCCCACTTAAAAAATTTTGCTAGAAAAGATTGTTTTGATGCTCAAATATCCTGAAATTGATCATCTCGACATCAAGATATATGGACGTGAGAAAGAAATGGATTTCAAGTTTTGAAAATAATGCATTTGTAACGCATATTTTGACCATCAATTTTCAAGTGTTTATAGATCTGCTTGATCTACACTATTTTTTAAGCTTTAAATTTTATAATTCAAGATAAAAAAATATTATAAGGCTATCACAAAGATTTTCAGTATTTAAACTACATTTCTCGATACTATTTAAAGGTGAACTTTACTTTGATTGTTTAGAGCCTCGGCTCTATACAAACCGCACCATTTATGGAAAATTTGAAATTTAAACTTGATGGACAAACAAAAGCAAGATCCATGTGAGTGGGACCTATATATAGAGGCTTCATGTGTTTTGATCAAAACCCATGATTTCAAAATGAAGAGTGTTAATTGAGGTATCCTATGCCAAAAATGGAATCCAAATTTAGTTACGGGAAATTTGGCGGTAATTAGGGATGAATTTGGTGATAAAGATTGTTTTAATCACACCCATCTTATAATTTTTTTGACGAAAGTTATGAGCTTTTATTGATAATATGTTGTAGCAGCATGGAGTTACAGAGTCGGAATTAGATCAGACGAAACAAGTAGAGATTGAAGGGAAATACCAAACTTAGCAAACTCGTCTGCTACATCATTAACTTCCCGATATGTATGGCAGAAAGAAACTCGCAAAGATGGAAGAACACAAAGATCATAAATGTTGACCCAAAAAGAATGTAAGGACCATGGAATTCGTTGCTCTTGACTGCACCATTTAATGACATTCGAAGAGTTACCTTCAACAATAATGTCACAAGAAAACCCTTTCTCAGTAATAATTTTAAGGCCTTGTAAAAGAGAAAATATTTCTGCATAGTTAGCGGTAGTGTTGCCATAGGGGCCGGAGTACGAAAAAAGAATCTGACCAACACTACTCGGAGGATACCGCCAACTCTAGCCGGGCCTAGGTTGCCAAAAGAACTCCCTTCAAAGTTGAGTTTAAGTGTAAGGTTCAGGACTTTTCTGGTCGTTGATCCTATTTACATTTTGAATCGTTTCCTATTAATATTTATCTCAGTTTTCTTTTGATTTATTGTATAACCTCTGTCTAGTGTTTTGAGTGGTACCTTGTTATTGAAGGGATCGCGAGTTTTTCTACGGTACTAAAATCGCTCAAATCCGAGCAACCATCAGAAAGGCATGATCTGTACCCAATTTTTTTTTTTTCGTGCGTATCCCAATGCGTCGTGCATGCATCCCTATGCACACACACGCTCTTATATGTACGAATCCCCATAAAAACTCACCCATCCCAATGCACACGATTACATCATGCATGCCTCCCACACAATGATTACACACATACACTCTCTCTCCTCTCACATGCTCTCTCTTCATGCATGCCTTCTCTCTTCATGCATGATCACTTGAATGCCGTGTGGCATGCATGCTTTCACCTCCATCATTGT